GACGATAAAGATGTGGAAAGAAGATGAGAATGCAACTCCAGAAACTCATCCTATCAATTTCAAACCACCAAAGGATATTAGGCGCTTCTAATAATAACCTGTATCTGTAACTCAAAGCTCTTGTTGGAATCTCACTAATCTCTTCATGATTCTGTTTTCTGGATCAACTTGTGAAAGTGCCTTGTTTTGTGGTGGGGAGAAAAAAAAAACAAAAAAGGGCCATGTACTTTTTTTATGAATTCTAATTTGTAATTGATTCTATCAACAATAATAGATCATGTACTTTTTATGTTGAGAGAACGTTTTTGCTTTTATTTCCCATCTCTCATTTTCTCTTCGTTGGTGCTTATCTAAAATCTATTAATAGTACTTGTGAAGCTTAGTAAATAGTAACTACACTGATGTGAAGAAACCAATTTTAAAGACGAGTAAATGTTGAAATGGTAAATAATTTGAATGGAAAAGCTCTACTAAAAGACACGATGATGGTGAGCTCGTTTGCACGACGACACCTGTTTGCGGTACGTAAGAGACACGTTTTAGTTATCATTATTCAGACCTCACCGACCTCTTCTGATCTTTTGTACCAAAAATTACTTGTTTATTCGCAGATCTTTTTTAGACTTTTCACTTTTTTAAACTGCTTGTACCGTTTAGTTACTTCTTTTATTTGTTTCAAATTTCAATACAATCACCTTCATGACTAAAACAGTTTTCTTCCCTTACACTATTATACATATTCCAAAAGACCAAAACCGACAAAAACAAAAACCAAACACTAAACTGGATTAGCCATTTACTATTTTCACATTTCAGTTTGGCAGTAATTATGAAAAGGGCCCACAATAAGGCCCATGAGCCCAAATTTCTCTTTCGTGGTCTATTTAAGTGCGCCTAATCCAAAACCCTAAAGACTCTCGAAAACCATCACCGGAGAATCTGACGGCGGCATAGCACCGGCGGCTACTGCAAAAAGGATTGTTTTCTTCTTAGGCTTGATACAATTGCCTTGGAAGAACATAACGATCTTTTTTGTGGTAGCTAAAACGCTAAGCTCTATCGCCATATCTTTATCATAAATATTTAATATCTTAAATAATAAAATGGCCGCTCGTTCACTCTCCGGTGCCGTTAAATCTCTTTGCTCCGCCGCATCCGGCAGTCTTTCTCGTTCCATTGTCTTAAGGTACTTTTGTTTGAAATGTTCCCTTGTTTTCAAGTTACAATATATATAACAAACATTTACACACTCTTTTATTTGCTTAGATCGTATAACATCTTTCAATATACTGATTAAAAATAATGTAATAGCTATTTGATGTAAAAAAAATTTATAACTAATTTAAATATTGCTAGTTTTGAGTGTAGGCTAAAGATTGATCTATCATACACGTAATTACTTAGATCTATCAAAGATAATCATGCATGATGATATTATCACCTTATTTTCTAATTTTTCGTTATATTATTTAGTCTTTTACTGTTTTTTAAAAAGTATAATCTTCATTCTCTAAATTTATACTTTAATGTCGTATTATTTATTGGAGTGTAGAAGGAGTTACGTAGCGACATCGCAGAATGTGACAGCAACAGGATTGAGTAAGGGAGGTTCCACCAGAGTTATGGTGGGGAAGATGGAACAAAGAGCTTTAGATCAAGAGGTAGAGTCTGCTTGGGGACCAGATCCAGTCACTGGATACTACAGACCTTCCAATCGTGCGGCTGAGATTGATCCAGCTGAGCTCAGAGAGTTGCTCTTGAAAAACAAAGCAAAGTCTTTCTGAGGATTTGATTGGTTGATTCCAGTGGAACGTTTTAGTCGCAGGCCGCAGGCGATTATTATGATTTTCGTTTGTTATGTTTTGTCTTATATCTCTATCTGCTGGAGATTAATTAAGTAAAAAATAAAATATGTTAACTAGTAAAAAATATAATATATTTTTGGATCGAGTGAAAATATCATTTTAAGTATATGTATCTTATCTTAAACATTTTTAGTATAATATCTGAATAAATGGTTTACACATCGAATATTTCTGATAATATAACATTTTAATAAGAAAATGGAACTTTTTTTTATTAATGTAAAATTATAATAAGATACGTGAATAGAGATAGACACCCTGAACTCATTGATTGGGATAAAAGAAAATGGGATCCGCTTATTGGCTTGCTTCCCAGACCGCAAGCAGAACAGTTGCCTTCAACTAATGATTTTAAAGCTAAGGTATGGAGCTTGAAAACTGATCCAAAAATTCAAGTCTTTCTCTGGAAAGTCCTTTATGAAGCTCTACCTGTTGCTACCAGCTTGAATAATAGGGGAATGCATGTAGATGAAACCTGTCAGTTTTGTGGAGAAGAGGAAAAAACTATAAATCATGTGTTTTTTTCTTGCTCCATGGCTAGACAGGTCTGGGCTTTAACTGATATTCCTTCTTCAAGCTGTGGTTTTCAACTTTTCATAATGGTTCTGTTTTTGCTAATATTCACTACCTGTTAATGAATATTAAGAACTCGTCATGGCCTGTTGAACTTAGAGATTCATTTCCGTGGACCTTATGGCGTATATGGAAGAACAGAAACATAGCTTCTTTTGAAGGAAAATGCTTCTCTCTTTTTGAATCTGCAAACAAAATTAGAGAGGATTGGCTTGAATGGATTGAGGCTCAGAAAAATGAGGAAGAAGGTCTGTTGCCTGTGTCGTGTAGGGTGAACCAACGGACTAATGATCAGAGACAAAGTATGAATGGTGACAAGTCTGGTTGGACGCCGCCTCCTCCTAATTGGCTCAAATGTAATATTGGTATATCTTGGTCCAACAAGAACAAGCTTGCTGGTTGTGCATGGGTTTTAAGAGACCATTGTGGTGTTGTTTTGCTTCATAGTAGAAGAGCCTTTGTCAGGGTGTGAAGGAAGAGGCTCAATTTTTAGGCTTGATGTGGGCTATTGAAAGTATGCGGAGTCACAGGGTTGTGAAGGTGATTTTTGCTTTGCAGGTTGAAGTGTTGGTCAAGGCCATCAATAGACCGGTTGCGTGGCCTTCCTTTAGATATCAGTCTATGGAAGCTATTTTGGCTCTTAAGTATTTTTCGGCTTGGAAAATTCTTTTGGAAAACTCATTTTCAAACAGAGGTGCATTTCTCATCGCGAAGAGTGTGACTAATGAGTGTAGACTGCATTCATATGTCGCGTGTAGTCATCCTACATGGCTTGAAGCCTGTGATTGAATTTTTTTGGGTTTGGTTATCTCCGTGGGAGGAGTTTATTTGTGTTTTGGCCCTTCTTTTGTTTGTAGGTGGCTTTATGTTGGCTGGCTTAAATTTGAGTTGTTGTGCTCACTTAATATCGTTTAACCGTTTGGTTATGTTGTATATTCCATCTCTCTGATTAATATAATTTCAGATGACAAAAAAAAATAGAAATAGACATCTTCGTTGGAAACTACAGTATACACATAATATCTACTTTCAAGTTCCTACTTAAAAAAACAAAAAAAACAATTTGTTTTATGTTGTTGGCCTAAACAATAAATGACAAACAATATTTATCACTAAATTATGACAACCAACGTCAACAAAACAAAGATACTTTCACTAAGGAATTCTTTTGTTACCATATCTTATTTAGTTGTTGTCAACATCAAAGACAACAAAGATGTACTATAGCAAATATGATGGTGCTCCATTTCATACCCGTAGTTTTGTTTAGGCTGCTAAAGTAATAGTCTCATAAGAATGCAAACGGACTCTGAAGATTATATGATGTAATTTGGCCAACTTCAAGGACTCTGAGGACTGAGTAACAACGTAGGTAATACTTACTAGTTACTAGTATCACTTTGGCTCTAACTGGTGCATTTTATAGAGAAAAAAATTCTCCTCTAACTCTTTTTGCTTTTTGGATCCACCATTTTTATTATTGTTAGTTTGTTATCAAATAACTTTTTTTCTTCTCTTAATACTAGATTAAATAAATATTCTCAGTTCCTCCACTTTATTCTTCTATTAGTGCAACCAGTCAGATCTTTCGTTCACTTAAGTTTTGAAAACATTTATTCTAAGCTATATATAATGACTTAGTGAGATTGACATTTTGGCTGCTTTTCCTCCTTTAGCCTTAGTTCCTCGTCTTATTTAAGAATATTTCAGTATCTTTGGTTTTTACTTTTTAGGTTCACTGATGTGTTTGTATTGGAAGAGCTTTGTCTCTGTTCACTTTTATTCAAAAGCAGTTTTTTGAACATTTATTCTCAACCATTTGTCAATCTAAACATTTTGTCACCCGCATTTCTTCCCCCAACAAATATCAAACATTTGTCACTCTCATTACCATATATCAACAAGTAGCCCACACAGTCTTGGTCTAATGGTAGTGAAAATTGGAGAAAAGTTGAAAGGAACTAATCCAAGTTCGATCTATCTTGTAAACAAAAATCACATATATGTGAAAAGTCTGGATTTGGAGTTGGCCCAAACAATTAACATGGTATCTGAGATTATGCTAACTGGAAACCTCCGGACATTAGTCAGAAAACATTCCAAACTCAGAACAGACAGTGTATGCTCCTTCGGAAAAAAGTTTACTCTAATACACTTCGGTGTGTTTTTACCGGGGCAGACCGAATCAGCCAATCAAATATATCAAAAATATGTATCAACAAGTATTTGGGAGGACGGCATATCTCTTTTTTCCTTCCTCAAGAGTCATTATCACAATGTTGTTGTATCAGAAATGAACACCACGACCCGAAAGCTGAAGGAGAATGTCAAAGTCACAGAGATGAGTGAAACTGAAATATATGTTTGTTCCACAAATAACGAACCGTCTATACACGCTCACTTGCAATCTAGCGCACACGACGTTTTTTGACGAACAATCCCTCACTAGTTCAACCCGTCAATGAATCTCAAAACTTATCCCAAACAAAAAATTACTAAGCCTCAAAACATAGTAAACACTTCATTCTCTAATCTTCGCTTAACAAAGATGCATTACCAAAAAAAAAAAAAGATGCATTACAATAACAAACCTTAAAAGTAACATCTTTAAATGAAGCTAATTTTGTCAAATAAATAACGTACACAAAATCGCACACCACAATAATGGAACAAAAATATAAAGATTTATAATTTATAAGACCCAAATTAACAAACTCTTGACGAATAAAAAATGGATTTAGGAGAGGAGAGGGACAACACGTGAAGTGAGGCCTTCCTCTTCATCTTGAGAAATCTCACTTAAACCGTTGCTTAAACCGTTGCTTAAACCAACCGGTTTGGCATTTCTGTAAATTCCATAAAGTATGAGTTGCATTGTCCCAAACACAAACCCCACTCCATTTGGCACCTACTCAATTTAACCACAAAAAAAAAATAATAATAATTTAATTTAATTAATCACAAATACATCATTTCTCAACAACATAATTAAAATCAACGCCTATCCGAAATCTCAAGAAGACGCATTTGGAAATGTCCCCACAAATAGTAGTAGTTGCAATTTTGAACCAGACACTTTCTTAAAAAATTAATTGTTTGGAAAAAATCGACAAAAAATCGCTAAAAAAATCATTTGTGTTATAAAAAGTATATGGGTATTTATCATAAAGATAAAAATATTTATAGAAGAAATATTTATATCCGGTGGGAATAATATACCGAGAATAGAAAGAGAGAGAATTCTATTATCTGATGATTGTTGTGATATTGTATTTCTGAATTGTATCTTTACAACGAACATTTCATCGTTTTATTTATAGAGAAAAAGATAAGTTACTATGCATGTATAGTGACGGTGGGCTCCACATAAAATTATAAACTTCTCATGGCTGCGCCTAATGCGCCTGATTTCTGTGACTTTTGTAACACTTCCCCTTGGAGACCAATGTCACTATTGTCTTGTGTAATGTCTTCTGCTGTCTCGTTAAAAACCTTTCTAAGTAAACCCAGTGGGAAAAACCTTAGTAGGTAAAAAGAGTACAACGACGTAATCTCCCCCTCGAGTGATTAACTTTACAGATCACGTTGATGGCGCATTCCAATAGCATATACATGCTTCTTGAACACCGAGGTAGGTAGTGATTTTGTGAAGAGATCTGCAGCATTGTCACATGATCGGACATATTTGACTTCAATGTCTTTATTCTTCTCAAGTTCTTGGGTGTATGAAAAGAATATCGGAGGGATATGTTTGGTTCTATCACTTTTGATATATCATTCCTTTGTTTGGGCAACGCATGCAGTATTATCTTCATATAGGATGGTTGGCTCTTTGTTTACGTTGATCCCACTGCTTGATTGAATGTGTTGGCTTATTGATCTCAACCATACACATTCTCTACTTGCTTCATGTAGTGCAATGATTTCAGCATGATTTAAAGAAGTAGCCACAAGCGTTTGCTTCTGGGAACGCCAGGATATAGCAGTGCCTTCGATCGTAAAGACGTATCCAGTCTGTGATCAGGCTTTATGTGGATCTGATAAGTATCCCGCATCTGCAAAACCAACCATTTGCCCTTTTGATTTTTTAGGATAAAGTAATCCTAAATTCATCATCCCTTGAAGATATCGGAAAATATGTTTAATCCCATTCCAATGCCTCTCGTAGGAGATGAACTGAATCTTTCCAAAAGATTAACGACAAACGATATATCAGGTCTTGTACAATTCGCAAGATACATAAGTGCTCCGATAGCACTCATATATGGTACTCTAGGACCAAGTATCTCTTCATTTTCCTCATGCGGTCGAAATGGATCACTCTCAACGTTAAGTGATCTAACGACCATAGGAGTACTAAGAGGAGTTGCCTTATCCATGTTGAATCGTTTTAGCACTCTTTTAATATACGTAGATTGGTGCACAAATATACCCTTTTGGGAATGTTCAATTTGTAGGCCAAGACAAAACTTTGTCTGTCCGAGATCTTTCATCTCGAATTCCCCTTTTAAATAGTTTGTTGCTTTCTGTCTTTCATCTTGAGTCCCAATTATATTTAGATCATCAACATATACCGCGATTATCACAAATCCGGATTTTGTTTTCTTGATGAAAACTCATGGGCATATAGGATCGTTCACGTATCCTTCTTTCGTTAAATGTTCACTGAGACGATTATACCACATTCGCCCAGATTGCTTTAACCCATATAATGATCTTTGCAACTTTATTGCACATAACTCTTTGGGTTTAGATTTCAATGCTTCTGGCATATTAAACCCGTCGGGAATATGCTGTAACAACATCCATGAGACGCATTTCTAAATTTTCATCAGCCGCTAGACTCATCAAGAATCTAAACGTTATTGCATCCATAACGGGGAAATATGTTTCCTCATAATCAATCCCGGGTCTTTGAGAAAATCTTTGAGCTACGAGACGAGCCTTGTATCTCGTAATTTCATTTTCCTCATTTCATTTTCTAACGAAAACCCATTTGTATCCAACCGGTCTCACATCTTTAGGTGTGAATACAATAGGTCCGAATACATTTTGCTTATTGAGCGAATCAAGTTCGACTTGTATTGCATCTTTCCATTTTATCCAGTCATGTCTCTTTTGACATTCATATACCGACTATGGTTCTGGATCCTCGTTTTCCTCATCAATTTCCTTTGACAAAAGGTATGAGAAAACGTCATTAACATCATCCATTTTATTTCGATCCGAGATCTTTCCATTATGGATATAGTTGATAGAAATCTCATGATTTCCTTCAGGCTCATGATGCTCATCATTGTCATTAGACTCATGATTTGTTTCTTCCAAAATGCTTTCTGTTATTTTGGGAATATCATGCTTTTCAACTTCTTTTCGTTTTCTAGGATTTTTATCCTTAGCACCAACTGGTCTACCACTTTTCAACCGTATTTTAGACTCACGTGTATCATCTGCTCCTCCACGTTCTTGTGGTATTTCAATTCGAGCATGAACATTTGTAGCTGGTATATATGATTTAGTTACCATTTTGGTATCTACGAAAGCATCGGAAAGTTGATTTGCTATACTTTGCAAACGCATAATTCGTCGAACTTCTATTTCTGACTGTTTTGTAGGAGGATCAAGGTGTAACAGGGATGGTACACACCATTTAATTTCTTTTCCTACTTGCTTATTTTCTCCCCCTAGAACCGGGAATACTTTCTCATCAAAGTGACAATCGGCAAATCGTGCCGTAAAGACATCACCAGTCTGCAGTTCTAGGTATCTTATAATTGATGGAGAATCACAGCCAATGTATATTCCTAACCTTCTTTGTGGTCCTATCTTTGTACGTTGTGTTGGTGCTATAGGCACATACACTGCACAACCAAAAATTCTTAGATGGGATATATTTGGTTCTCGACCAAATGCTAACTGTAATGGGGAGTATTTATGGTATGCACTTGGTCTTATCCGAATGAGTGCTTCTGCATGCAAAATGGCATGTCCCCATACAGAGGTTGGAAGTTTTGATCTCATGATCAATGGTCTTGCAATCAATTGCAAACGTTTAATTAATGATTCCGCCAGGCCATTTTGTGTATGAACATGAGCTACAGGATGTTCAACTTCAATTCCTGTTACCATACAATAATCATTGAATGCTTGAGATGTGAATTCACCAGCGTTGTCTAGTCTAACTCTCTTAATGGAATAATCAGAGAACTGAGCTCTTAATTTGATTATATGAGTTATAAATCTCGCAAATGCCAAATTTCGAGATGACAACAGACAAACATGTGACCATCTGCTAGATGCGTCAATCATTACCATAAAATAGTGGAATGGTCCACATGGTGGATGTATCGGTCCACAAATATCGCCTTGAATTCGTTCAAGGAACTTTGGTGATTCTTTATCAATTTTGGTTGGCGATGGCCTTATGATCCACTTTCCAAGAGAACACGCTGCACATGTCATTTTATTTCCATGATTCAACTCATGATTTTTCAATGAGTGACCATGTGAGCTCTCTATGATTTTTCGCATCATTGTGGTGCCTGGATGACCAAGGCGATCATGCCACAATGTAAAATCTTCTGGATTTCTTTTGATTTCAAGATGCGATTCTATTTCATCTATATAAGTATGATGTAAACCAGAAGGAAGTTCTGGGAATCTTTCCAATACATGTCTCTTTCCTGATTTATTAGAAGTTATATACATATACTTCTTTCCGTCCTCAGTAGCAAACTGAGTTTCATATCCTTGAAGGTATATGTCTTTGAAACTCAACAAATTCCTTTTAGAATTCGGAGAATATAAGGCATTCTTTATGGAAAACTTTGTTCCATTAGGCAATATAAAATTCGCTTTGCCACTTCCTTCAATCAACTCCGTAGGACCCGATATTGTATTGACAATAACTTTTGTCGGTTTTAATTCAGAGAAAAATCTATTATGTCTCAAAATAGTGTGTGTTGTTCCACTATCTGGTATACAAATTTCTTTGTGTTACAAAAGTCACAGAAATCAGGTGCATTAGGTGCAGCCATGAGAAGTTTATAATTTTATGTGGAGCCTACCGTCACTATGCATGCATAGTAACTTATCTTTTTCTCTATAAATAAAACGATGAAACGTTCATTGTAAAGATACAATTCAGAAATACAATATCACAACAATCATCAGATAATAGAATTCTCTCTCTTTCTATTCTCAGTATACTATTCCCATCGGGTATAAATATTTCTTCTATAAATATTTTTATCTTTATGATAAATACCCATATACTTTTTATAACACGTTATCAGCACGATCACTCTTCATTTTTAATTTTTATGTATACCTTTTTACAATGGTTGCTTCATGCACCGTAATTAATTATTTTCTGTTAATGGTTGGCTGAGCCACCTAAAATTTTATTTACTGCTTTAAATATTTATTTATGTTACCGGTCGGCTGAGCCGCATTAATTTTATGCACTGCTTTAAATATTTATTTCTGCTACCGGTCGGCTGAACCGCCACATATTTATTTATTGTTTCTATGTGGATGACTCCGTCACCATAATATCACCGTGAATTATTTGTTTATATTATGGTTATTATACAAAGAGGTTTATTCACCTGTATAAATATTTTTATCTGAATCGATAATTTTTATCTGATTGATCTCTAATTTTTCAGATTAATTTTTTGTTTAAAATCTTTTTCCGCCAACGGTCTCAAAGAAAAATTTCAAAAAAAAATTTCAAAAAAAATTCAACTTTTTCCAACGGCTAAGAATAGTATTTTTCAATCTATAAATACATTCATTTTCTCATTCATTTCATCAAAACAAAATTTTTTCATCTCTCTAAAAACTCTCTCCGAAAAAAAGAAGAACAATTTTGAAGTTTTGAAGTTATGAAGAATGTTTCGATTACCTTTAATATTTACTTTTGGAATCATTATTTCGTGTATTTATAATCTTTGCGTTGTAGAATTTATTCCGCAAGATTTTCGTTTGAATATTATTTTACTTGTTTGTACAATTTTTCTTTTAGTAATCGCTTGCATTATTAATATAAACGGTTCATTTTAAATATGTATTAATTTTATTTTATATTTCTATACGCTTTTATATAAATGTTTTCCATGTTTTAAAATAAATTAAATAAAGGTTTCTAATAATATTCTATGTTTTTATTTTAGAAAACAAATGGCAAACATCGAGAAACTCAAGTTTCCGGATCTACAAATAAGTGGAGAAAATTATATACCATGGACAACCAACATAGAGCTCCATTTAGAAATGGAAAAAATATCTGAGACAATAAAAGAAAAAAATACTT